ATTTTTTTTTATTTTATACAATATGTGAGTCTAATGTGTGTCTAACTGCTTCAGACAATTATAAGTCAATTGTTTCCTATACAGAATGAAGTGAAAAGTCTTTCTGACATAACATCTGAGCCAAATGAAGTGGTACACACAAACTGTTTGTACATAAAAATGATAAATATTAGATAAGCTATAGAGAAATCACTTATCATCTAGAGCTCATTCACAGAGTATCCTCCTGGTATCTAATTTAAACACAATGCAAATGACATTGCATTCTGTCGAGCCTCCATATCATTTGTACATAAGTATCAAAAGTGAAGATTTGCAGATCAGTTTCCCTATACACATACACACTGACTTTATTGAAACATAATGAAGGGATGAGAAAGAGCTTACCTGACTGGACTCTGTTCCAGCAACAGTAAGATCTTGAATGGATCTGCGCCTCTGCTGTCCGTTTCCTGCTGGGAAAAAAGCAAAACAAAACAAAACAAAAAGAAAACAGTGAAATCTATTCCGAACAAAATAAGAAGGGTGAGACTGTTGCAGAGGAGCTTGGAATTTGTACAAATCCACAGAGAGAAAGGGAGAGAGGGGGAGAGAGAGACAGCTGCAGAATTTTAACTCAAAACATGCTGGCCTGTCAACAAAAAGTATCCCCTAATACAACAACCACTCCTACCACATGAATAGCTGCTGCCCTCCACTCCACCATCTTCTGACACATGTATTTAAACAGGCTTAGGACTCGGGGCAGGAGCTGATGACGACATCTATTTCAAGTGCGTTACGTTATGGGGATTTCTAAAAGCTAGACTGCAAAGATAACATGCTGCCAGCTTTAACCTGTTGCTCTTTGGTATGCTCAAGTAACATAGCAAGGACTTCTGTCTGTTTCGTTTCCCTCACCAAAACCAATAAGTGAGAGTACTTCCTTCTGGTCAAAGTGAAAGCACTTTTTCACCTTCAGATGAAGGAAAATGTGTCCCATTCTCATGCTCAAAGAACTGTGAAAAGGGGACGTTCAGCTAAACCACATCTTGCTAATAACCTACTGAACATAGTGCGGTAATCTTTTCCTTTTCTCCTTCCACCTGTTAGCAATTAGCCACTTGTGACAGCTACATAAAACAGTTTAAATTCTAACAGTGACACTCAAAGACATTACTGGGAAACAAAGTCTCCTCAAAAGGATTGGAGATTATGCAACGGAATCTCCCCGACTACTTTGATTTTTATTGCTGTGATTGTTTATACTGTCTCTTGAGAGCAGGTCAGCTGTCCAAAAGGAAACACCAAAACGTTCTGAGTAACAGCTGACAATGCTCAAAATTCTTGATCTGCATTACGTAACTTTTCTACTCAAGGGTAGCATCTCAAACATGTACTACAGCAGTGGCAGCCCCTAACCCATCAACCATGAACTCAGCAGCCAGCCCAACTCTAAGCCCTTTAACAGGCATCTAATCTTTTTTTTAACCTTTTAGATATTTATTCAGCACAATTTCAGTACTACTTCCCTGCCTATCTTGATGAGCAAATTTTGATTCATAACTGTTACTACAAAAATATAAGACTATCTATGCAATATTGATCAATACATTTAATGGAATCCCAATTTAAATTCTTAAATAGTGACTATTGCATGTAAGAATACATTAACACAGAGCAGCCACAGAGAACTCTTAGTGTCACCTTACCAATCTGACATGACATTTTATGTTCTAAAATTTCTACGAAGTACTATGAGAAAGAAGCACATCAGAAAATCAGGAGTTTCAGAATGAGAAGTCTTTGAAAAGTCTTGTAGTCTTTGCTGTGACTACAAAAGAATTTAAGTCACAGCTTTTTTGAGGTCTTGATCTTTTGCTTCTGAAATTCAGAGGAAGTATATACTTACCTAAGCATCACGACTATATTGTTTAATATATTTCTAAGATACTGCAGATTGAGTGAATGATGAATCTATATCAAATTTTTGATCTTATTCATTCACAGTGAATTTTTTCACTAAATGGCCATTTACAAACACAATTATACATTTAATAGAATTATGTATGCTAGATACTTCATCTGGCTGTCACAGCTAATCTCAATATTCAAGATACAGATGATCCACCCATGACTGACACAAAATTATGTGCACGTTTCATTCAACAACACTGTTCTAAAATTAGCCCAGCTGAAATAAGCTTGCAAAAATATCTGAAATTCTCATTTCAGATTAGCAACATTTGTGAATTTAAAGAACCTGGCACATGTGTTGCTGAAACATTAGAACATGGCTGCCAAAAAAGTTAAAATAATCAGGGTGGGGTGCAAGAAAAGAAAATGCTTTGAAGGAGGGTGGAAGGAGGGGCCAAAACTACCATGTTGTAATAAATGAACATCTTTAAATGAAAAATATCTTTGAGTTAGTAGCATGAGAGAAAAGCAAGCTCTACTGGGCAGTGCCATTTTAATTAGTGTAACTGCTGCAGACATCTGGCAAATAGCTTAGACAAAGCAGAAATAGACTACAAATCAACAAATACTTATTGCTCCAGATTCAGGACAAGTTTCAGTTGAAAAAATACAACACAACATTTTTATTCGAAATCTTCACAGCTATGTCTTTATGTCCTCTTTCCTTTTCTTCCTTTACGTGTTTCACCTCTACACCCATTTAAAACTCCTAAGTTTTCCTCCCCATACAACTAATCATGTTGTAAATGTGCAGAAGTTAGTCAACAGTAGCTTGGTGTTCTATGTCAGGATTTTAACAATTTACAGGACTTTAAGATTAGAAATTAATGAGCATCCAAGTACATATCTGTTTTGAGAGTTTTAGTGAAAAAAGCTCTGAGTGCCTGATCGCTACGTGGAATGATGAAAGACTTTTATTTAATTTATTGTACTATAAGGGAAATAGACCCACAAAATCATATGCCATTTCAAGCAGTTACTGTGATATAGTTGTAGAAATTCCATACACTATCTGGGGACTCATGCTTTCAAGGTTTCTTAATACACAGAGATTGCATATGAGAGAGCTACAATTTCTGAAATATTCAAGTTCTGTGCTGTTTAATAACATATGAATATAAAAATTAAAAGGGCAAAATGAAAGCAAAAAAACTAAGGAGAGAAGAGGAAAGAGCAAAAACTTGCTCAGAGGAAAGTAACATTAATTGCTGAAATACCGGAGAGAAAAACTGAAGCAATCATTAGTCTCAAATGAGTTTGATGCTGCAAAGCATTTCGTATAAATAGGAATGTAAAATTTGTTCATGAAGTATTTGCATTGGTAAGGTATACAATTCTCTTCCACTCATTTCCTTTGTTTCATTTATGTTTTTCTATTTCTTCCTCCAGCTCTTCCCTCCTTCTCTCTATGTTATTCTCATTCTTGTCTCATACTCACTTCACTCCTTGTATTCTCCTTCCTCAATCCACTCCTCCCTCCAACCTGCTCCAGTATTTCTTATTAATCTCCCCCCACAAATATCCTAAATATACTTCTTGCCCTAAAAAAAAAACCACAAAAAGAAAAAGAAAAAAAATGTACACACCGTTATTTCCTAAAATGAAATTCAAAAAGTACAGAAAACTTCTGGTATGTGCCACTCCACATACTGCAGTGAAGCAAATGACACAGCTTCCTGTTAAGGCTTTTGAACAACCCTCAAAAATTCAGAGCAGCCATGCAGTCCTCTCCCTTCCCTATAGCAGATGCTCACTGTCTCCTTTTACACTTACACAAGCTGCTTGCTTTCCTCTCATTAAGGCAAAAGTATTTTGCTTGTATCCTTCCAGCCAAGTGCAAACTCACTCTTACTCTTCTTCCAGGTCTCCTGTTCCTGCTTTCAAACTCACTTCAGTACTCTCTGATTTTGTGGTAGGGAGTTTACCTCTTCGTTCCTCCATTATCATGTTCTCCCATCCTTATTCATGTACAGTACTTTTGAGTGCTTTCCTTACACACAAAGAATCAAATGTCCCTTATGGTACAAGGCAATTAGTAAATTTACTAATTTTAGAAGACATGGTCAGGAATTTAAGCCATTCATCTGGAATCCAGAATCACAAACTGATTTGAAGAGACAAAAGTAGGATTTCTGGCCTATACTGGTTTTAAAAGTTAGATGGAAAAATTACCAGCTAAACCATCTATGATTCTCGTACATTTTCTAAAGATACTTAACAAAACGTGTCTATCCTGAGTAATCGTTTATGCAGTGCCAATGTTATAAAATTACTTGAATGCTGTGGCACAGAGTTTTGCATGACAAAATTAGAAAGCCAAGTGTACGCATGCTATATGCATAAGCTGTTTAACATTGCCAGAGAAGAAAAGGCTGCACTTGAATGTATATTTTGTCAGATGCCTCTTGACTGGTTAGTATACAGAAGGTGCCTGGGTTATTCTCCTTAATCATATGACAAACTATAACTGGATTTTACTTTTTCCTTTAAACATACGGCTATTTAAGCTTTTTGTACTTGTAAGGAATTTTATTTCTCATATACAAATAAGAAAAAAAACACCTACATGGAGATGTTGGTGCCTATTATCCATATTATACTGCATATCAAATGAAAGAAAGGGATACTCCACATGGCTATCTGATTGTGGTTTATCACCTCTGAAAATCCATTTGCCAATGGAACTTGCTGATGTATTATTTTCAGTTTTTATTTTTGTAAACTAATAACAAAATAGCACCTTAAATGAAAGTAAGTTTATTTACACCTATTGGAAAACATTTAGGAAGAAGAGCAAATTCCACTTCTTCAAACATGTAATCATCAACCGATGAAAAAATAAACTTTATGACTTCACTATCACAATCAGTTCATGGATAAAAAGTGACCAAGGCAGAACCCATTATAAAAAAAAACAAACAACCCAATGGTGGCAGATGTAGTACTCATGCTTCTAAAATAGCCCTGCCCCAAAGCAGCTGACTCATGGTAACACGCCTGCCCAGTGCCCTCCCCTCTGCGGGAAGCAGCTGCTTTGCCATGTACTCAGCAGCAGGCCAGCAGCAGTGTGGACAATGTCAGTGCTCTCTTCCCACGGATGGACGTGCCCAGGGAAGGCTGGAGGAGCTGGGTATGTGCAGAAGTGCTGAGGAACGTACCAGGGTGGGATTTAGACAGCGGTGCCACTCTGGGGAGCTTGGACGTGTAACTGGAAGGGGAAAAGTGTTAAGAGGATAGGATTGAAAGCCATGTACTGAAGGAGTAAGGAAAGGAATGTGGTGAGAAACATAATGTGAGGGCACATTATGCTGTCCTAAAAACAGAGCAAGATGCTTTTGAGAAACTGCTTTAAGGATACAGATAAATATAGTTAGTTTACTGGGCAGCTGGTTCCATCTCTGTCACGTAATGATTAAGCTCTATTTTAATAGAGCTGGGTACATATTCTTTTTTCCTGGCACCGTGATTCTTACCAGGAAGGTGTTCTGACTATTTGAAACCTTTTATTATGCAGCCCAGACATCTGCATAGTTACACCCTTTGCCTTAGTGCCGGTACTGCGCCTTTTAGCTTGAGCAATTCTCTTTTCCTAGTCTTTAGCTGCAAATTCATCTACGGAAAATAATTACTCATTTCTCAGCTTTCACTCTGAGAACTAAAAAAACCATGCTCTTCCACTTTCTTCTTCACACTCTACATACCATTCTAGTAGCTTTTCTTGTTACTATTTCAGAGTGTACTTATGATTAGCTCAACATACTTTTTCGGCTGCCCAGAATACCATGTTGATTTCCTGATCAAACCTCAACAATGGCCTGTAAATTAGCTTTTTTTTTTAATTATTTTTTTTCTAATCTATCCTGGAAATATTCTTTTCAAAATGAACCCTAAAGACTGGTATCTATCACTTATAAATAGACATATGTATATATATATGTATGTATATATGTATGTATTTTAACAACTACTTCAGATTAGCTGCTTAGACTGCCTAGGATTAATCTTTATGCATCTGCTATGGTGCCTTGCAGTCCACTAATGAGTTCTCTTCATAATTAAAAGAAATTGTTGCTACTGGTTCCTCAGTGTATGACGTTAAATTTTACTCTATTTCTTATCCACCAATCACCCTCCATCACACCACAATTCATCCTATGTGATACTTGAATCCTTCTTTATATTGTCACACCTGATAACACTTCATCACTCACTTGAGGCTTAAAAAATGACTTAAGAGTAAACTCTTGCTTGCTTCAAACCTGTATTTCATTTGAAATGAAGTCCTATATTTCATTTCTACAGGTTGCTATTTCTCTTTTATTTGTCCCAAATTTACCTTAGAATTCCAGTCTTGTCAAGTTCAATTAAAATAGTTCAGGTGAAGGGTATCTAACTGACTTCCTTTGCCTAAGTATGCAAAACCTCAAAAAGGTATCTGATGTGTTTGGCACAATCTACTTTGGGAAAGCGACATGATATATTATTTCACTGACCTTTTAATTATTCTTCTCTAAAAGATTCAAAGGTTTTTTTTGAAGCAGACAGACAGTACGTGCAGACAACAGGTGCCTAGTTAACTTTTAGAGCAAACTTGTTGGGCTTCCATCACTTGTTGACATCGTAAAACTTGGCAGATTTCAGAATGTAGCTTCACTTCCTCTTTCCTTGCTCTTTCAAGATTTCCTTTGCATCACAGAAGGCCAGGAGTGTTTGAAAACTACAGTGGAATACCAGTAAATATTCTGTCTGATCTGCTAGTCTCTGTGCCAAATAGGTTTTATTTTCATCAACTGTGCAATTTTCCTCTGGAAGCTACATTTTGACATAGTGTATTTTTATAAGTACACTTCAATAAAGGTATTTAAAGTTTTTGAACAGAACTGTATCTTCTGTTTTCAACTTTAAAATACAACAATCCTCAAGATCTACAAGGAATCTTCCTCAAATGACACATATTTCGAGTCAAGGTCCAGAGTTTTTAATGGGTCTTTTGATTAGCAACATATACTATTACTTGCATCTCCTAACAAATAATTTTGAGGTGATTGGTATACTAATCATGGTGTACCTATCACAGTTTGGGATTGATTAAATTTATTTTTAGTCTTTGAGAAGTATGAAAGGAAATAGGAGGGAAGATGGGAAAGAAAGATATATTATTTCCTACTGAATATAAATATGAAATAGAGGAGTCTCAACAGAAAATAGCTGCTAAGGTCCTGAATATGCTGATTCTCTTCCTGTCAGAAGCCTGTCCTAATAATTTTAGTTTGTCTTAAGTTAAACACAACAGAAATACTAACGCAAATACATTTTAGATCTAGAAAACTGTAGTCAAATATAAAAACTACAGATTAAGCTTTAATCTTGTTTAATCACAAGCATTACACAGATTTGAAGTTCTGTACATAGTGTATTTAAGTCTTTTGTTCTACTAATATTTGATTAGATTAGAAATGGATGCTTAAACACTGCACAGATCAGGGCACTGTAATTATCTAAATGAGAATTTTTCAACTGAGGTTCATTTTTGCCAAATGAAGTACTGTAATAAAATAATACCTGCCTTATAATGAGAATCTAACACCAAGATCATAAAAGGAAATAGCCCATAATTACTAAAAGTAGGTTAGACCAAGAAGATCACATCCTTTACTGATAAAAGTTAGTACTGAAAGATCATGCTCCTTTTTACTGAAACACTTAAAAAAAAATGCATTGGGATATTTCTAGGTCTGTTCTAGTGCAGCTGGAGCAAGAAGTATTTTTTAGCAGTCTGATCATTATTCCAGCATCTTAACCAATTGACCCGTTCACATGGTCTGCGATACCTGGTATGATGATCTCAGGGACATCCAGAATGTTGCCAAATGAAGCAGTTTTACGATGGCCTCGTTTAGGCTTGGAATAGGCTGAAAAAATACACACATACAATACACATGCAAAACACTAAAAAGGCAATAGCAAAATTATTAAATTTGTCATATCGCATTTTTCATAAAATTTGTTAAACTGTAGTTCATGCAAAAATATTTCATGCAGAATAAACTGCATTGCCTTTCACTCATGCTTACACATAGTAAAGCAACTGTTAAAAAGCAAAAATGCAGAACTAGCCGTCAATACAACGCTGTGTAATTAGTTTTAGTTAGCAACACAAAAGTCAAACACAGAAAGCAGCACGGCAACAAAGAAGGGAAAACCAAATGTAATTATCCAAACAGAGAATAAAATAAATCGCTTCAGATCACCTGTATGTTCAGAGTAAATTCTTGATTGCCTGAACTTATATAACACTTCCTCTTTAGTGCTGGGCACAAACTATTTTATGAACAAGATTGAAAGTTGGATACTTTTTTCTTTGAATCATCTCCTGTTAAAGCAAAGGTAATCTGTCCCTGAAAAGTGCTTACTCTTACTACATTAGACAATTGTTTCTGCTTTCCATTATTTTGCCCTACTAGGGAAGATGTTTCTTGTTTTAAAAAGTGGCTGTCACCACTAATGTCTTCATCCTGAAGGATATTCAAGAAGCATTATATATTTTGCAATAAAAACTTTTTAAAACTTTTTTATTTTGCCACTTGTGTAGTTACCCATTTAGAGAAAAAAAAATAGTTCCCATTTAGAGAAAAGCCCAAATACAGCTCCCAAAGATAGAACACTGCAGCAAATTTGTCTTAATGTGAAATGGAGGCGTGTATTATGCAATTTACACTTAACACTTAAATCTAGTAGTAGGCGGAACAAGAAGATTAAATATTCTTGACTTTATTTATGCTAACAGCCTGATTCTCATCCAGCCACAATTCTATTTCAGTTTACAGCATATTATTTCTGTCACAAATTCAACAGCATTAAAAAACAAAGCAAAAACAACAGTGTTGTTTCAGCTCTTATTGAAAAATGTGTGGCCAGATGGGTTTGACCTGATTTCTAGTGGTCAGTTAATTCCTGAAATAACTAAAAAAAAGAAAACAAACAAACAAAAAAACCCAACAACCCACACACAAAAAACACCAAATCAAACCAAAACACAAAACTCCAGAATATTCAACATATTCTTTTGCATCAATAAAAAGAAACCCTCCAGTCATAATAAACAAACAAAAAATCCTTACAATATGCTGAAATAACAATTACTATTCAAAACAGTGTACTTATGGAAGACAAACCAGGAAAATTAAAAACTCGCACAAAGGAAGTCTACAGTTATCTCCACTAATGTCAAAACCTTACATTGACTTTAGAGGGTCAGTGAGTCCTGATGTTTTAAAGTAAAAACAAGTTATTATTATCAGGTAAGTACATAGTTGCCTTCCATGTTAGGAAACCTTTAGAAATACTCAGGGTGAAGTGCTACACAATCAATCAGTCAAAGATTGACGATACAGAAGACAAAATTTTGGTGTAAGGCTTTAAGATAAGTACATAAAAGTAAAAGCGTTTAGGGCAAGATAATATTATCCCACAAATATCTTCAGTATTTAGCAAAACAAGATCCTAAAAAAATCATCATACAACAAAAATAAAGTAGTCATGGTTGAAAAGAGTCAGAATATGATGCTTATTTCCTTACTTCTTACAGTTTCCTGGGTTACCCTAATTATCAGATTTGTGCAGAAATAACTGCATCAATTAAATAACCCTGAACAAACCAAAGTAATTTTGTCTGCTAATTAAATCTATAGCTACATACCATTAAAAAAAGTTTCAGATGTCAAACTTAATAATTGATGTTTGCATAGATCAACAAACAATATCTTTGATGAAGAAAAGAGACAAGAAAGTGTTTGCCAAGTATAAACATTTTTATTAAATTGATCTTCTGGGAAGATTGAAGATTGTTTTCACCATAAAATTATTTATGCTTATGAATAATTTCCAATCCACTCACGGACTCAGTATTTAAACATAACAGTTTATGGCTACCTGAAGCAAAGCACCTGAAGCTAGTTTACTTTTTAAACAAAAGATATTATGCTGTATTCGTCTGATGAATAAAATATGCTTATGTTTCTGAAATATGACAAAATTGAGTTTAAAACTTATTTGGGAACATGCTGACCGTTAAAACCAACTATTCACTTTTATATATTTGAGGAATAACTGCAAATAAAATGCTATTTT